TTTTACTAACTGTTAATATGTAGTAGTAAATCATGAGATGAAACTTTGATCATTTATCCCTAATGAAGAATAAGAAAGAAACATTAGGCAATAATTTTCAACTGAAATTATTAACTTTCAGTTACTCAGGAAACGTTACGACTTGTTACAACGAACTTCTGAGTTCATTATTGTTTTAAAAAGCTTATAAGTCTGTACCAGTTCATTTTAAGGTTTCAAAAGTCATCAGAAATAATTTCAAAACGCGTACCAAACTGGCTTCTTAAGCGACAGTTTTAAATGAATAGTTTATTGTCAAGTTTGTAGGATATCTACAGTTTTTGGTCAAGTAATTTATTTCGATCCTTTGGAAAAGCATGTTGACTATTATCTAAATTACGATATGCAATACTAATTTGTTATCATCTAAAAGTCATCACTGAAATTATTCAAAAACGTCCATTGATACAGAATAAGAAGTTAAAGTATGCTAAATAAAAGCGGTTTCTAAAGTTAAAATCCCAGGTTTATAACACGGAAAGTAAATAATTATAAGTATTTTCAGTTGCATGTTTTCACAATTGGAAGACTGATTCAAATTGTAAGGTTGCGCTATTCATCGACTATAAAAACCTATTTAACTATAATTGTAATCTCTTTTCTAAAATTTAAGTTGCTACTCTTATCTGGATCCACACAAATATTAGTTGTAACTTTCATTAATCTATAGGATATGAATTCAACTGAAGACTGTTTCAGTCAAAATAAGTGAATTCTTTCATTATTGTACATGAAACGACATATAGTCCTAATCTGTTTAAGTAATTTAGGTTGAATACGTAATTTCTTCTAGCTCCGTTACCAACATAAGAGCTGATAGAAAAGTAATCGGACAAAACAACTACAGAAACGCTTCATCTCAGCAACTTGAAGGCTTGTCACACCATAAGAACAATATCCCACATTTTCGTTCGTAATAATTTAAATACAACAAAATTGTAAGTACCCATTATTACCGTGATTTTATTTCGTTTAGACTATTGGTATCAGACAATACATCTGTTAATATCTCCTACCTTACCACCACAACGAGCTTATTATTACAGAAAAAGTGCAATAACAGAATGGAACAACTACTTGTCATCGAAAATTTATTTTTTAATAATTTTTCAAGTTGGTAATCGCTATAGACTGATGTCAGTTGAACAAACATTGGGAACCTGGGAGCATTGGACAGCTGTCTCGTCCTAGTATGAGATTCTTCAGTACTGCGCACCCACGACGCAAACAGATATCTAACCCGCGACCTTCAGGTTCCGTGGCCAGCATGTTACCATTGACCAACTGGATTGGAATTCATTTGTCCATATTTCCAACTTTTGTCAGTTCACGACATAGCGTGATCGTCATTCAGTTTCACCGTCGAGTATTTGTCCTCACGGCTACCAGGTTTGCCCTACTGGTCACGACTTCTCATTGGAACTTCAGGAATCACCTCTCAAAGTTATTCATCAATGATTTAAGGATTTGTGGGGATTTAGAGATGATGAATACCAACTTGAAAAATCTCTAAATGTCCACAAACCCCTAAATTTGGTTGTGTTAATTATTTCAGTACTGTATACTGAAACAACAACTGTAAGAGGATGAATTGTACAATGAAGATTTCAATAAATATGGATTATTAAAATGAAAACAGTTTAAGATATGAAGCCAAAAATCTATCTACCAGAGCTTACAGTAGTAGGAAACAAAGTAGTAGTTCCTTCTTGGCTCCTCAAAATAACTAACTACAACACAAATAGCATGATTCTAATCCATTGCAGATGACTGAAAATCACCCAATAAAAACAACCAGGTACATTTTATAAGGCATAAACGACCATTTTATTCTTCAAAGAGCAGCGTTTCTGTAGTGAAAAAGGACCCTAAAGTGATGAATCTCCCCAGATGATAACCCACTGATAACATAAATCTACAACTTCATTCCCATTTGACACGCATATGCGAGAACACAGATCGCCTAGATTTATGGTATCGGATGAAAATCTCTCAATATTTGTTGACAAATGTTTATTAGTGTCGATTTGACCACCTTAGTCATCTATCCTCTCCTGAGTAACGAGCTTAGAGTTTCTTTCACCGAATTTCTTAAAATGGTAACAATTTGCAAGTGTATAGTAAGATGAATAAGGAAGCTAAATGAAAAGTATTCCAGACAAAAAACATTCTCCATTAACTCAATGAAAAGAGGAATAAACATAATGAAAATCAGTGATATAAAGTGATTCATTCCAAACTTGTTACACTAAAATTTCAGTGCATAGTAGAGTCCCACTACTATTCTTGGCGACAGTGAAATCGTAATCGTATGCCTGTGGTCAGTGGTTAAAATTAAGAACGAACCAACAGTATCGGCAACCTTCTAGTGACCAGTGAGTTAACCTTTTAGTTTCCTACCAGTGACCAGTCGTAGGCCTGGACAGTTTAGTGGCAGATGGTTTGAGTTCAGGATTGTGTAGTTCGGGTTTGAGTCAATGAGCTGTATTTGATTGTTTTAGGCAGTTGACTTGCAGCAAATATGTTATTGGTTCGAACACCGATCCACCTACTGAAGTTTCAGACTCCAGGAAGTATCATAAATCACCATGCAATAAGTGTGTCTCATAGCTCGACAGTGCACAAGATTGCCAAGAATATTTCAGTTTTTCCAGGAATAACAAACCCAGTACAAGATATTCTTTCTAATTGACTCCTAACTTCTATCACTTATACTGCTCACAGAGTTAGCCGAAACTACTTTCCTTTTCAACTATTCCCTACAACTGTGCATTGTAACCAACTGCTTCAGGTCAACTTGTTTGTTTTCACCAATTATTCCAGATATATTTGCGTACAAGTTCGTGAAATGTGATCCCTTTCGTAATATACAGTGCACTGCCACATCACCTGCATCAGACAATGTAAAAACGGGAGATAACGCGAAGAATAACATATGAAGTTGGTTTGACGACAAAACAGTATATTTGCAACCTGAAGGAAAAAGGAATATCCTATATCAGGAAAATTATTTAAGTGTTACATTATATGACCAATGTTGAGATTAGCAACGAAAACCTTATGGAATGCTTGCCATGATCTAAATCACCAGTTTTTCATTTTTGAGATTTCTAGAAATGAATTTCACTTAGGTGGCTGATTTAATTTTGTCAGACAAGTAAATAGGTTTCATATATATTATGATTGGTTCTGCACGAAACGGTTGCAACAAACTTTACAATATTTGGATTTTGTCAACAATTTTATTCACAAACCTATCAGTGCTAAAAGCTAGGCGTAAATGGTGGTATCATTTTGTAAACAAATTTTGATAGAAACAAGCAAACTTTTTTACGTAGGATAATTTGTATCTTTGCGATATTCTGAAACTGAATAAATGTGCATATCTTTAACAAGCTTCATTGATAATAACAAAGTGCAACGGCACTTAATTGTTGGTTTGTACCCAGGAGTTACTATTTAAACAACCTCCCTTTGACAAAAAATACTTGTAGCTCAGGATAAGAATCATAACTTTGATATTATCCAAGCTTTGAAGTTTTCCATTAAACATTTCATCACTAGTTCAGCAAACCCAACCAGTGTTTCTTTTTTAGTGAAGTAATGTATCCTTTAGTCTTGTTGTTGATGAATTAGTAAATGAGTGTTACAAAGCAAGATAAGAGACTCAAGGTTTCCGTCACTTTTAGACTCCACAAGTAATATTTATTTTAACGAGGAAGCATTCAGAGCCCCCATCGTGTTAGAACTCTTCCAAAATATGAAAATTATTAAAATAGCTTGCTGGTAAAAATCATAACAAAAGAAGCTCGTTCGGTTGTCTATTAGTTGAACCAGTAATTTGTGCATCGACAAGCTGATTTCTGCCTGCTGAGTGTCCATAGTCAAACGGTTTTAATATGTATGACGTATGTAAATGTCTTAAATCCTTGAACCCATCTCAGAGCCTTGGTCTTCATAGTGTTTTGTGTATGATATATAGACAATGTGCAGATATTTTATGTCATCCACTTCTGGATAACTTCAGTGTATCGAGTTCCAGTGTGTTCGTATGCTGATGACCTGATGGCATCTATTCTAGTTAACACTCATTTGGATTGCTCTGAATCAAATGAATTCTCGTCTGTAATTGACCAATGGTCTTTTTCAAGTGGTCTCAAGCTAAACCCTTCTAAATGTCAGACTACTAATTTCAGCCTCAGGAGTAAAGAAGACTTGTATGAGCTGCTTAAGACCCATTACCCCAGTCCCACTGGTGATATTTCTGCAGAAAGTAAATTGACTGTTAACTATCTAGGGTTGAGTTTTACTTCTTATTTCTGTTGGTCGCCTCATATCTTGTTGACTTGTATGAAAAAATTAGGGCTTTCTGGTATAACAGCCTCTACTTTTACATTTTTTTACTTCCTGCGTTTTATCTGTTCTTCTCTACTGTTCCCTGTTGATCTGTCCTATCTACTAAAAACGGACTATGTTATACGGTGTAGTGCTCTGAAAACCGTCAAAAGAGTGAGTGCTGTGCCTCTGGATCAACTGATCAACTCTGTAGCTGACAGATATTTAAACTTCAGGAAGCGACTAGCTATTGTAATTTTAACTGACACTAGGCATCCAATGCATTCACAGCTCGCTCCTTGTATCTTATCAATGAGGACAAGAAGAAACTGTATAGGACTGGTATCACTTTAAAAGGACAGTCATTCGGCAGTTCAAAGTGATTTTTTGCCACGTATAAAGTGAGTAACATGGGCAAAGCATTCAGTGGCTAAATTATAGAAAAGAAACATTTATTGCTTGGAAACAAATCAGCAAACCCGTAGGAATAATATCAGCTTGTAATTTCATATGACAATATCAATTTTTCTTCGGTGATAAATGTAACCGCTGTTGTACTTGATGCGCTTAATTATATTACATTCCATATTATATCAAAACGGTCATATCTGCTCCACTTTTTACAGGTAATTGCAGTCGATGATGATGCAGGAAGGAACGGTACCGTGAGATATGAAATCCAGCGAGTGACAGCTGAAATTATTACTGGTAATGTTATCAGTCACCATGTAAGTACTGTACAAAATCCGAATTACGAAGTACTGAGCACTTCGCTGTTTTCGTTGAATCCAGTAAGTGGCATTCTGCGTTTGAACAAACAATTTTCTCCGTCAGATATTGACAGGATATTGAATGTGGACATTAAAGCGTATGATTTGGGCATACCTGATTCTAAACATTCCTACATATCACTTCGGATAAGACTCATAAATTCAACATCTTCAGAGAGCAAAGACGGATTTAAATTTCTCATAGATGAAGAGGAAGATGAGGAAGAAGATGAGGATGGACGTGAATCTTACACAAAGTGGTGGAGTCACTTGCGACTTTCTATGAACAGCTATATTATATTACTAACAGTAACAGCATCTATCTTATTATCAATTATCCTTATGTGCATCATAGGATTCCTTATCAAGCGCAAAAGAGTGAAACAAGATTCAAACAAGAATCGATCGAACGATTCTAATGGACCAGTCAAATACAATCCAAGTGGATTACTACTCGCTGATAGATACAAAGACATAGGCAAGTCTTGCAAACACTTTTAAAATATGCTTTGGTGACTTATTTTCAAATATTTATACGAGAGGGGCTTTTATAGATATAATACATATTCGGTCAAAACAGCCCCATGATAGAGTCTCTGAATAGCATACGTTCAGTCAGTGTAGGCGAATTTCTGGAGTCAAACAAAAATTTAATAGACTTGTCATAAGATCCCATGAATTACTTCAAATACTTCACTGGAACATAATCATATGAAGATTAATCCAGGAATATCAGTTCTGTTCGAGATAATTCATGTTTTCTGTCACCCATATTCAGTGTATGATCTCGTTTTGCATAACACTACATTTTCAACTGTTTGCATGTTGGCCGAACCTTCATACTGTCTTTACAACTAGCATTCTATTTGTTAACGCTAATGAATTATCATTATCACCCAACAATACCTTTTTGGTTGTAGGAGTGAGTCAAAAAGTAATCGATCTGATAAACAGTCGGACTATGTATTTCAAGTTAAAAACTCATAATAATAGTCGCTTTGTTCCAAACAGCATGTATGATGCATTGTAGAATTTTCAGCATAAAATATTTCAACAAATTCGCTTTCCCTATAATATCTTTATAAGAAGTAATCATTACGTCTGTATAGTGTTAATAATAACACTATTCAAGGCATAAGTTTGAAACGGTCAGCTAGAGTTACAATAGCATCTTTTCTCAATTGGAAAATTAAAATAAAATCGAGTGTAATTTCGGTGATAGTAGTTCAGTTAGTCAGCACAGGAGTTCAGAATGCTACTATAATCTTCAAGTTTTGCTCTTATGTCTATGAAATGTTCATTCAATTTTCCGCTTGTAATAGTAAAATTATCTGTATGTGAAAGAAAATTTTTTTTATTAAGATTTATTTCTGACAATAGATGAATGAAGTCTCCCTTGCCTTTGTTTCATCGCTTAAGTTACTAAATTTGTTGAGGAAATAACATTTGATACTCAGCAATTGTTCTTTGAAGACGATAAACCAATTAGGAATAATAAAAGTATGATAAAATAGCTTAAACAAAAGTGGATAGTTAAGAACAAATAAAAAAACTGACAAACCTGATGCAATAAAACCGGAACCATGTTAGATTGAAGAAAGCCATCTTTTCCTCATGTACATGAATGTTTGGCTTATGCACATGAATTACAGAGGTCCATTTAGATTTCAACTCCTTATTTTGAATGTATTTTTGGCTTCATCATCGTTTCTATATTCTATCTGATGCTTTTCATCCCACTTTGACTTCTACTTTTATTCTAGTATTACAGATAAACTAAAGCCAGTTAGAGAAAGAGTGAAGACCTGGGGCACTGAAAAACTGTTTCGTTGTCGTGTGAGACTCCACAGTAGTAAGTACCTATGACTCTCCCGGAGGTCAAACCCATGACCTTCAGGTTTCATGTTGAACACATTAACCATCCAGTCAATGGGTCTGAGTCCAACAGTCTACACTACAGTACTTCAGTGATTTCATACGTTAGCATGGCTGTCATCCAAGGTTTGTGGTTGGCATCCGCTCAATTCACAGCTGGTTACCCCACAGGTCACTGCTTCTTATTAGAACTTCAGGATGTCCACCTCCAAGCATATCACCAATGAGCACGATGCAGCAATCTAAGTTGAAGTTCATGGGCGCTCAGTGTAGAGGACTCCCATACTAGGACAACACAGCTGCTTAGTGTTCACAGGTTTTCAATGGTTCTCCAAATGATGTTAGTCTATGATGAATATCACCTTAAAAATGAAATCTATTCAAACCTCGAACTACTTCATCTATTTATTTCATGTTTGAAAACCGAATAAGTTTCTTGCTTTAACCAGATGTGAAAATGAGACAAAATGCGTCCTGTATTTATCTGTGCAAAATCTAGGACAGCGTAAAAATAACAATAAGAAAGAGGAGAAATTTCGGACAATTTTCATCATTAGGAAACGGATGTCTCTTATGAAAAAATAAATTACGGCTTTCAAAACTCTAAACTCAATTTCGGCACAAATGTGGATGTGATAAAATCATCTGATTAAAAAATTGAAGGATAACAAAGAACAGTAAAAACAAGTCGAAAAAGGGTAGTATGCGAAAGGAAAACTGGGATCATATATTACTCAACCTCTGTCGGCAGATGGGCTCCTACGCGGATGCCTTCACGCTACCTGATCATTCCTCATATTTCATTCGGCTTCGTGGCTAGAAGGGGAACCAAGAACAACTCACTGCGACAACGGGAAATTACAAATATCAAAACAGCAACGAGTACCCGTTGTACAAGAGGTGGCTTCCGTGCTCCAGTCGCCAATTGGGTTTGAATCAATGGGCACTGGGTAGAAAGTTACTGAGGACAACACCACTCACTCATCTTCTTGACTTGATATCTGCAAGCCACGATTGTTTGCGCAAAACGTAAATATTCTAACTAGCTGTAATGCAATCAGAATACATCTCTTGTCAGGGATTTTTCTTCAAACCTGAAGCATGAACCATAGGCGAAGGTGGACTTTTTCATTTTGATTTCGTATAAGTCACCTCACTCACAGCAACAGACCATATTAGTTTGGCGTTGAAATATTTGAAAACACTGAAACTTCGCTCTCATATTAAAGTGTACACCTTACAGTTGCTGTAAAGCCGGTTGATCTATTTAACTTTATGTAACGATGAATGAAGCAACACAGATGATCCAGTCAAAGGAGTTTAAATATAAATGGACTAATTGTGCTTTTCTGCAGAATTTTACTGAATTTGGGAATAAAACAGGAACTAAAGCATGGAGTTCAGCGTGAGTAAAGTGTTTTCGGGGTCGAAAATCCTATATCGTCCACGCAATAGTTTGAATATCCCATTTTTCATATAAATATCAATTAAAGTACCCAGTTAGGTATACGTCTTGAGGTCGGTTATTAGACGTTGCCATGTAATGTTCCTGTTTGACTCAACTGACAGCATCAAGTTCAAACAAAGAAGAGCGACATGAAAGAATTGAGAATGGATGCAGCATAAACAGAAACCACTGATGCTATGAAAAGGAAGAAATGGATGATAAAGCAAATAATGAAATCTTATATACAGGTTAAAGTGATTATTTGTGGATGCACCAGCATCACAGCAGACTGTTCTATCCAGACTATCCAATCTGCGGACCTTCATTAAGGTGACTGCATATTCTTATACGGTCCAAACCAACAGTCATAGATTTCATGCTGTGGTGCAATGCTTTATTCTTGCCACTGTTTTTATCATCATAACTTAACACTAGTTTTAACAGTGTCGTACATCTGACATTTATATTGTACTGCTAAACAGAAACTATCGGTTAAATTGCATTTGTATTACATGTGGATTGAAACATGGATAGTGCGGTGCGTTTTAATTTATATTATGCATTGATATCAAGCTGGATTGTATAGAGTTCTTGAAGATGGTTTAGATCTATACTGGTCTCTCTTCTGCAGACCAAATCCATCACGGCAGATGGTGGCTGAGTATGCCCAATTCATATCCCACTGTTATAAATCAATAAGCAAATGCAACCTTCATAACAAAAAACCTAGTTGGCGTCAGTGATGGTAAACTAGTGTGATACTAAACCTGGCTAGGTATGAAGATCTGGTTAATACACTCATAATAAGATCTAAACTTGCCCAATTTCCTCCATTTTCCTGTTCTCCAGCTTTATGTAGGCATCTTATAATTATGGAACTTAGGATTTGAGATACTGTGTTTCTTAGACGTATTCCTCTGAGTGGACTTCTTTCCCTGATTGAATTTGAAGAAAGTAAACAGTTAGAATCAGTCAAAGTGAGTGATATCCGATCTTGGAACTTCAATCATTTGGTAGTCAAACACTGGCTGATGTCCTTGAAATGGCTCGGCTGTAAGCTCATTAGGTCTTGTTGTTCTTCTTCACTTAAAGCTACCTACAGTCTTCTCAACCTTGCAAAATTTTCAGACTATATCTCTATGTTCTGTTCAGCATGTGGCCGGACATAAAACAAGCTTAGAGCAACAAACAAAACAATATATTCATATATTTCAGTAAAAGTACAAAGTTTCATGATAAATTAACTTATATTACTATCCTGCATTTAACAGTCTAACTACACCTTTACAGAAAGTCGTATATAATAATTAATATCAGTGAGTTCCATCTCCGCTTACGCGAGCATTTGGTTTGTGAAAGCGGAAGTCCAGTCAACATAAAAGTCCATACCAGTACACTTATTGAATGCAGAATCTCAAAAGTATTTTAAAATTGCTTTTTGTTTTGATAAAACATGTTCCGAAAATAGAACCCTGTACAGACCTGCTTTATTTTCTCTCACTGCTAGAATTGTGAAAATAAAACCAACTAAGCCGTCACTCTTCATTAACAAGGAAAACATCCAAGCACCACTTTCACTTAACTTTCTATAGACTATATTCCATCCTCGTTGTCCTTGCTCTTTTCTTTGCTTTTTCAAGATGATATGTTTCCGAATTTGGTATCGTTTCCTTTTACCGCCTTTTAACAGCCCTTTTTTGTTTTTGTTGATGCTGTCAACTCTTTTCAAAGACTGACACTGAAGCCTACCTCTTCACAATTACTGAAAAGCGTTGTAATATTATTCCCTGTCTGATACAGTTCCGGTCATTTCACTCACTGATCATCTCATGAATTAAGTGCACCTCATTTATATAATGATTCTGATCATTCATATTACTTCCCTTTTACTTAACTTCCTACTGAACACAAGCTATGACGTCAAGATCACACGTAGTACGTTTCCTTATCTACACTGCTGTTACCATTCATCAGTCATTTGACGCTACATGACTTTACACCCAGTCCATTTTATGTGCGAATACAGGTATTTCAAGTCAATGAAAAGTAACATTCTGGCCAACTGATAGCTGCTACCTTGACGTGGTGGTCACGCTTGCATATCACAATGACCCAAGGAGCTATGCTGGTGGAACACGTGTTCCCTCAAGGTCCTAGCATAACAGAAAGGTCTGTGATTAGACGAAAAACAGTTACCGTACTGCTGTTAGCTGGATGTGTTGTGATAGCAGTTAAGTGTTTCCCTAGGATGACCAGCAGTGCAATGCTGATGCTGCCTTCTCAGTGGAAGGGGGGGGGTTAGAAAAGGTTGGCCCCAAAAACAACACACTCCACCATGTCCCACAGTCTGCCGGGCCAGCTGTGTTGGTTCGTTTGTCCTTTCTTTTCGACCATCCGGCCCCAAAACAACAAAATTTCAAAATATTTATACTCAAAACGCTTCGCGTGACAGGCTTCAAGCACATTTCCGATGGGCTCTGCGGTCAGGTACCTTAAGAAGAAATGGCCTTCCACGGTGTGGACATCCGAGAAGTGTCAACCACCCTCACAACTCTGTCACCAGTCAACATTCTTCTGATTACAATCAATGTAACTTTCAAACCCATCTAGCAAACACTTAAACAATCACGTTTCTTAGTTTCCACTGAAAAAGTAGGATGCTTTACGAAATGTGATAACATAATTGGTTAGAATTGTGGTTGCTAGAGCGGTCTTTTTGGTTGGTTTGAAATACAGAAACATTGTTCTTCAAAGTAGAGATTTTTCACAAACTTGACTTTTATTATCATTAACAGTTTCATTTCATACCTGTAGGACTTATTTTTAAAAAGGAATAGTTTTTGCTCACATTTACTTTTGAACATTATTCCATTTTTGCTTTTCAGATAATAGTCCCATTAAAAGTAAACTTATCCCCGATGACAACCTAGACAGCATCAATTCAACCATGTCAAACTTGTTGAATGAGGTTCCAAACAATGAAATCACGTCCGATAATATTACTCATACAATCAGTTATTCACCAATAAATTATGGTACTTCAGTTTTACACTATGCAGATAACCATTACAACATATGCAGTCTGTCTTCGCCCTTTTCTTCAGATTCGCAAACAACCGTACTACCACAACCATTCATTGTTCGTCTAGAACCAATTTCAACGAGTATTATGGACACAAATTGTATACAACCAATAAGTATATTGTACCCCACACATTCTACAGAAAACTTTGATCAACTACTTATACACCCGATATCCAACGCCCCTGGACTGACTTCTCCTTGTTTTTCTTATTCTTCCAATATAAATTCAATAAAACGCAGCAAACAGAGTTGTTGTGAATTGAATAATCCACCAAATAGAGTGACTACAGATATTCAAGCTAGATATGATCAAACAGCAAGAAATTTGCAGTTTCCAAAAGAGGAAATTCACTTGGACCAACTCTGTAACTACAATACAAATAGTTTATCAAAGCCAAAAACACCAGAAATTCAACATGTGTGCTTTCATTCACCACTGGTAAGTGAATAGTTTTGTTGAAAAAAGATAGCTGATTTACGCTTATTTATATGCTCTACGCGACTATGTAGTTAGTGTGAAACTTCTTCAATAAGGAAAGCAGGTTACTGTAGTTCAGGACATGATGCAAATTTTATTTTAGCTCCCTAGCTGAAAAGCCTCCTCGAATCATTTCTTCGACCTGAACAGAGCGAATTGATATCGTGATTTCCAAGGCCTGAAAAGGGGTTTCAGAGTGATGATTTCAACCGGACTCCCCAAAACTAAAACTACTATATGTATTCTCACAATAAGTGCTTTCCTGGTAATAGGCTACTTTTAATTACTTTGGTCGCTCATACAAGGTCACTGGATGTCCGTTAACATTTTTCCAGGTGTCCGTACCCTGGAATATTCTATGTCAATCAATCATAAATGCGACTAGAAAACTACAAAGAATGTCAATGCCTCATATATATATACATATATATAAACATACATATAGAGGTAGTATTCATCATGTACTGACATCAGTTGGGGAACCATTGAAAATCTGAAAGCACTGGACAGCTGTTTCGTCCTAGTATGGGACTCCTCAGTAGTACACACCCACGATACATCTAGGAATCGAACTCACGACCATACTAGGACGTAAAAGTTGTCCAGCGCTCCTTGATTTTCAATGGTTCTCCAACTTATGTCAATCCATGACGAATACCACCTCTAAATAAAAATCCCTATTCGTCTCAAATATATTTATGTTTATAACTACTTGCAGCACTGCAAATAAACTACGGCCGAAGAACAACAGTTTTTCTTTAGCTGTCCAACTCAACGCAAATTCCAGTTGATCATTAATGCTCTAATTCATAAGCTCTGCGATTAGCCGAATCAGAAATAACCACCACTATTGTCCAAATATGAAATGTTAGTCATACTAACTTCGTCATTATTAATAAACCATCATTTATGGATTAAGCAACCTCGCCTAGGTAACTAGTTCACTAGTTACTAGCCGGTCTCGAGCCCGGATAAAGAGGGGAGGTTGGGCATGCAGCTAGCAACCCTACCCCATAAAACCAATCCAACCGCTAAACAAACTTCAAAGGACAAAGAAAATATGAAAAAAGGTAAACTGATTCTTCGCTGGAATAGGAGAGGTGAAAAGACTCCAGTTGGTTAACGCCTTCGGTAAACAACTTGACCGACGTATCGTCTCTCCCTCGATGAAAGCGAAGGTAAGAATGGGTACACGGAATGTTCGAAGAATGTCTGAAGCTGGCTGGCTGACAAGGCTGTCCAGATTGCAAAAGAGATGAGAAGGTATAGGATAGAGGTGCTACGAATCTGCGAAAGCAGATGGAATGGAAGTGGACTCTCAAAACTACCAACTGGAGAGTCCATTATCTACTCCGATATTGTCACCCAGACGACAACCACGAGTACACTGAGTTTCGGTGTGGCTATCATGACGTCTCCAAGAACATCGAAGGATCTCAGGCAGTGGAAATCAGTCTCCTCCAGGATGATGATCAAGATACCAAGATTCAACGCAAATAGAAGAAAAGTTACAATCATGTATATCAAGAGAAGAAGGAGGAATTCTACAGCCAACTGCAACCAGTAATACACAAGACTCCAGTTGGCGACAACGACATCTAAATTCTAATGGGTGGAGTATCGTGAATGCCAAACAGGGAGCAGACAACACAAGAAGAGAACTCATCATGGGTCAAGAGGCAATCGGGGAAATGAACGAGAATGGAGAACTGTTTGCAGATTTCTGCACACTTGATGATTTTGTGATTGGAGGCAGTGTCTGCAAACACAAGAATATTCACAAAGCGACATGGATTTGATTTCACCAGACACCAGGACACTAAAAATCAGATCGACTTCATCTCAGTGTGAAGGAAGTGGAGACGCAGCCTACTGGACATGAGATCAGATGGTGAAGGGAATCAGATGTAGGTTCACACCACTACCGAGTGCAAGGAACTTTCCAAATCAACACCCAGAACAGAAACTGAAATGAGGGACGAAACTATAAAGGACATCTTCATGTCAGCCAGCCATCAGGAAAAAATGGGAGATATTCAACATCATCCGTGAAGAAGCCTGTGTGGAATAATACTGAAACTCTTCGGGAGAGATGTGGAAAGAAACCAGCAAAACCATACTGGGAAGGAAGAGAAAACAAGACAAGCAATGGATCTCGACGGATGCATGGAAGTTGATAGGGGAGGGGGAGAAGGATGGTGAAGCAAAAGATGAACGAGTACGGGCAAGGATGAACAGCCAAAAGAGGAACTGAACACAACATATAAAACACTACACTGGACAAAGAAGTGAAGAAGAGTGCACGGAAAGACAAAAGACACCTCCACGACACGTTGAAAAGTGAAGCAGAACAGGCTGCTGGTAGGAGAGACAGAGACTTGACAACATTATATTCAATAACCGGGTTACTATCTGGGATTAAACCAATGAAAGATGATGAAGGAAACTCAGTTACCAAAGAAAAAGCACAATGGAAACGATAATCTGACCACTTCAGAAACTCTTGAATCCACTACCACCACCTGCAACTCCTGAAATACCACTAGCAGTCCAGCCACTGACTTACCAGTGGACACAAGCCCTCCAACAAAAGCAGAAGTGAAGTCCTGAACGCCATAAAGATGCTGAAATACGGGGAAGCAGCAGGATCACATAGAATTACGTCAGAACCACTGAAAACAGACTCAGAGATAACAGCGGACACGCTCACACTACTACTGCAGAAGGTTTGCAAGGAAAGAAGGAAAAGTACCTGCCTGTAGATTGGAAGAAGGGCTAACTTGTCAAACTCTCAAAAAAGGGAGACCTAAGTCTTTGTAAGAACTGGCACGCAATCATGCTCCACTCCTGTCCACCCCAAGCAAAATATTAAGCCGCATCATCCTGGTGAGATTAAATGGTACTCTGGATTCAAAATTAAGACGACTGGAATTGGCTGGCTGACTGGCTGGATTCAGGAAGAACAAATTAGGTGCGGATCAAATCGCAACGCTACGCTACGCATCATCATACAACAAAGCATTGAGTGGCAGCCCACCCTCTATCTCAACTTTATCGACTTTGAAAACGGCGGCCTTCGACAACGTCGACCGAGAAGTAATTTGGCAAACAACTACTTCAACACTACGGAGTACCACTAGCCTTTATCGACCTCACTCAACAGCTATATGACGACGCCATATCCCAAGTGATTCACAATGGAAAGATCAGTGACACCTTTGAAAGGAAGACAGGAGTAAGACAAGGTTGCCTACTGTAACCCATGATATTCCTGATTGTGGTGGACTGGATCATGCAGTAGACAATAGTTAGGAACGAGAAGAGGGGGATACGCTAGACTGCGGAAAAGAACCTAGAAGACTTGGATTTCGCCAAGGATGAATTGTGTCTGACGTCGCACAAGCTCTAAGATATACATGCGAAAACTAACAAGTTGGCAGAAGAGGCGAGGCAGCGAAGACGGGACTTCAAATGAATGTAGAGAAGACGGAGGTGATGAAGATACATAACCAACAAAGATGACAGGCATCAATCACCATGAACGAAAGAAACCTAAAGGAAGTAGTCTCTTTCATCTACCTAGGCAGGGCAGCATTGTTTCAACCACAGGTGACACAAATGCGGATGTCAATACCAGGATCAGAAAGACAGTAAGACAAGCCTTCATTAATCTAAAATCAGCACTCAGCATAAAGCGTGAACAAGATCCAGATTTACAATTCAAAGTCAGTCGAGTAAGTCATTGCTTCCGTGCGATGGTTCAGAATCTTGACGAGGTACGAAAAGCATTTCCAACAAACTACGGACACACATTATCAACATCTGCCTACGCTCACTCGATACTGAAGATTAGATGGCTAGAAAGAATAAGCGACTGCGAACTCTGGCTGGCTGGCTGGTTGGCAGCGAACCAACCAAAAACCCATCGCCCAATCAATATACAGAAGAAAGTGGATATAGAGTGGGCATGCTCTGAGAAGACCATTAGGGGACATCACGCGCCAGGCCAGGCCCTTGAGTGGAATCCAAAAGGGAAATGACGAGTTGGGTGTCCGATGCGAGAGTGACATGGAGGAGATCATGTGAGGAAGAAATGAAAGCTTTTGGGCAGTCGTTGTGCCAGGTTGAAATGACCGCAGAGAAAAGAATACAATGGAGGCATGCTACTGAAGCCCTATTTTCCACTAAGAACCGAAGGGAAAATAATAATAATAACAATAAATGTGGACTACCTAAACGAAGAAAGCTTTCTCTTAGACATTATGCTTCAGTAACCAACTAATTATTATGCAAAGTGAATTATGTTGCGGACTTATCGTTTTGAGCCTTTTTCCGACAGAATGCCATGATGAATGAATGTTAAGTGTCTGAGTTCGTGACAAAAGTTGATTGCAGATCTCAAACAAGGGACATTATTGAAGACATTAAATAGAATAAAAGGAAATAGGTTAAAAATGTGTCACGATGTATCATATGTTGATTTGAGAACAATTTGGAATAAAACTAGGAGTTTGGCTGAATGTATCGTTGATATCAGAATACAAAAATGAAGCAATAAGTTAACCTTTTGAAACCTCGTCTTGTATAGTCTTTACTCAATTGAAAATAGTGAACTGAAATAAATACTATTTACATCCATTGAATATTGATAAAAGCGTCACACTAAATAAGAAAATTGAAAAGGCTTAGATTTTATTTCACACTACTGTAAGCCGTAAGGAATAACCAGCAATCTGGTGGGTTTTGAAAACTTTCAAATAACTTTTGTCTGTGTACAGTAATAATTTTTAATGACTGACCTACAAAGAGTGTTGATTCATTTTTTGAAAGGCTATACACCAGTCCAAGTAGAGATGTTATCTAAGCCGTTTATTCACAAATTAACCTTTGACAAAAGCAGATACTTGGTAGACAATCTCCTAAAAATAAATAAAGATACGTAAACATACAACGGAAAACTG